TCTGATTTAAGCTTATGAATCATTATGTAGTTTTAGGTTGCATTAAACTCCTGAGTTAGAAGGTGAAATTATTAGATTGATTAGACTGATTTGTATTACATTGAACTGCTGATTTACTGTGAATGAATTACACTGTTCTATGGTACTTCATACTGCTGATTTATAAAGAGAATACTGTTTGCAGAGAATCATGGCCTTGCTTTGCTGATTGTAGAAAGAACAAAGCATACTGCACAAGAAGCCAAGGCCGTAACTTAGGCTCACTGAGAGAGAAAGATTGTGAATGCTTAGTTTGGAGGGGGCTGAAGCTATAAGAATGTGAGAAACGGTCAGACACTTCGAGATTTTGCCGGACACCCTCCCGTTCACATCTCCTGTCCGGACGTTGGTAATGCTCAGTGTTGTATGGAATAGAGAGAATTGTATTGATTAAAGAGGTTGTTGATTGAGCATTGAGTGTTGTTCTTCCTTCAGCCCAAAGATCAAAGAATTGGGATATTTCACAGTGGGTATGATTGTAGCCTCGATATTCAGTTCTTATGAGGGGCACCTGGTGTGGTCTTCTGCTGCTGCAGCCCATCTGCTGCAAGCTTTGACCTGTTGTTCATTCATAGATGCTCTTCTGCATCCCACGACTTAGCAAGTAGTTATTTTAGTTACTAGTGTCTTTCTACAACTTCAAAGCAGTCTGGACTCATTAAGACTCATCAGAGCAGGAAATGTCATTTCAGTCTTGCATCATCTAATTTTGGTCAGCCTGTGAGAGCTGAAGCCTCAGTTTCCTGTTCTTAGCTGACAGAAATGGCACCCAGTCTGCTGCAAGCTTTTGTAACCGAGGTGAAGGAGATTTTATTTCCACAGTGTTTTTAAAGGAGGGAAACCTTCCTCCAAACGGACAGAGCAGTGGAGCAGCCAAGGGAAAGCACTGAATTAAAAACTATATGACTAAAATATAATTTATCATATTTAAAACAGTTAAAAATGTAAAATGAATGAAAACAACCCTGGCCAGGGGACAACACAATAAAAGTCAATAAAACACAACATTAAAAGTCCAGTGGCGTCCGCCACGGTATAAGAGTCACTAAGAATTAAAAATCCAGTGAAGCGGTGCAGAAGGGAAACCCGGCGGCGTCCTCGCCTTCCTCTCCGCGTTCTGCGCCCCGGTGCGCTAAAGAAAAGGAGGCAGCGGCAGTTACTACTCTTTTAGGCAGCTATCATTCATTAAAAGGGGACAAGTCAAAGGACTTACCCCGGGTGGGCAGAGCTCTCAACTCTGCCCGCCGTTTCTTGTAACTGACAATCGGCACCAGCCCGTCCGCCGCCTCTAATTTGGCCTCCTGTTGCTGCAGCAGTCGAACCGCTCGCTCCGCGTCCCTGGTCGCTGGCGCTGTATCTTCCTCACTGCTGACGCCAAGTTCCACCAGTGTGATCAGGTTCATAATCAGGTAGGGGCGGAGTCTTTCCAGGACAATTCACCAATAAATACCATAAAAACATGCAATAAAACTCATAAAAATAAACCAGTGTACAATATTAAAATATTAAAAAGGTAAAAGACAGCAGAATATGCATAGCAAAAAACCCTAGATAACTTGTCCCTTTCCACCCCGTGACACTTTGACATGTTGTGCTTTCAGAGATGTTCCTCTCACCGATTGACTGTTGCCTTCTGATCAGGTTGAAGTAATCTGGCTATTCTCTTGATTTCTGCTATCAACAAGGCATTTTTTATCTTGACGACCACCACTCATTAGATATTTTCCCTTTTCCAGACCATTCTATGTAATAAACCCTTGGGATGGTTGTGCGGGACAATCCAAGTAGCTCAGCAGTTTCTGAAATACTCCAATAACCATGCTACATTCAGAGTCTTCCAGATCTTTCTGCCCCATCCTGATTCTACATTGAAGTTGTAGATAAATGCAATAAGTTGCTGCTGTGTGGTTAGCTGCTGGATATTTGTGTTAATGAGCAGTTGAGCATGTGAGTGTAGCAATATTACCTCTTCGAGTGGAAGTAATAATTTCTGTTTTTTGTAGTAGTAATGGTCGGGGTGGTACTAACAGTAATGCATATTTAAATGCCAGTTTCTTGCTTTCCCCTCTGTTTCTGGTGTTTTTGGTCAAAGCAGACACTTGGCTAAACTGTTTGTCTATATAAAGTTAATTGTTCCATCTGCTGAGCTTTAGTGTCATAAATGCCTCACAGGGGCCAAAGACATCCATCGAGCGCTCCCTCGGCTCGCTTTTACTGCTGATATAAAAAGGCTTTGATAGCTACATGTTTGTATCCACAGATGGTATGTTTTCTAATTGCTGCGCACTCAGCCCGATCTGACCCCGAGATCACACTTGATGTGTTAAATGTGTTGTCCAGCATTGAAACTCCAATTCATCGCAGATAAGAATCGAAACGCCAGTTTTTTTTCCTACATGTGCAGCCTGAATGTTAATAGTCTGTACTGCCTCTGCTAGACATGTGAATCATTACATATATTTGGCTTTATCATACTGATTATCACATGGATCATATGTGACGGTTTAATACACAAATCAGTTCAGTTTGCACCAACAGGAGTTGTGTTACAGATGAAGCGTCATCTGTCTGCACTAGCATCACTTGTTTCCATCTGCTGGGCCATTATGAATTTGAATTATTAGTGGCATCTGCACATTCCCAAATTGGTAAACTGAAGCCATCTGTAATTGTATTAACATTGGGATTCTTGTGTTTATTTCCTGCCCCTTTTGATTGTAGATTAGAAAAACAAAGCGGTTAAATCGTTTTTTTCTTCTTTGACATCCTCACGATAAAATGGAGCTGCTGGAAATACAGACAAAGACTGTAAAGCTGGTCTGAATCATTTATTTTGTTCCAAGTCACACAGAAATGTTTGGCTCTGAACTACATCGTGTGTGCAGAGTTACAATGAAAGAACAGCAATGAGTTTCCAGCTGTTGCAGCTACTAAACGAACCGTGCAATAACCATTATTGTTAAAATCAGGACAGAGACAATAAACACTGTAAATGACACTATGGATAAGTCATTAAAAATATTGACATAAACTACACACCCACTGGTTAGAGTGGATTATCTGTACAGCCTTTGGCGTGACATAGCTAAGCTCTCCTGAATAACTCCTATTATTGGGTTGTCTGGGCCTCGTTCACTGACAACCTGAGAAAATCTGTTTTGAGGCAACAACGATGTTCTCTTAGCAACATGCCCCGTTAACTAAGGCACTAGTTTCCCTGTATAAACAAAG